CCCCCCGAGGCAAGGCCACCGGCTAGAGTCGTACAACAACACGCCAAGCCGCTGACCCTCCGTAGCAGTCATCGAAGCTTGCAATCACCTGATGGGAAAATATTTGACTGCATGCGCAGACGAAGTCAACCGTCTGCAGACGCGCTAGAAGGGCAGAGCGCACGTTCTTTCCTTTCTTCTATGCCTGACCATTCACACCGAACGACGAGGCGAGGCAGCCAGCCTATCGCTCTCGTTCGGTGGTGACGAAACAAGGGAGAAACTAGGAAGACAAAACACACACCCTCTTCCCCCGAAATCACCATGCATGCATACAGGCTGTGTAGGACAGACCGTAGTGCCCGTGGCCCCTGTGTAGCTGGACCAGCGAGAGCTTTCGGCCGCTACAAAGGTGACGTTGCACCGCCGTCCAGAGGAGAAAGGGAACATGTATGGACCTATTGAGCCACAAGCGCATGGCCAGATGTGGCGCGGCGGTGCACAGCTCACAGCAACAGCGAGCAACAGCGCGACAAGGGCATTGGCTTCGGCCTCAGCGGGCCAGGCCTGCGGGAGGCAGGCCGACTGTTCTCCAGGACCCACTTCAGTCCCGCCGACCATTGGAGGAGTCATCGTCGTAGGTACAGCCAAAGTGAATACGTCACCCTACATTGGGCGCAACCCTTCCCACTTGTTTCCTTCGTTCCTCGTTCCCACCACCCCAGTTACGTTTTCCCAAGACCTGGCACAGCTGGCTCGGTGCTGTTCGGGGCAAAACCGAGTCCTAGTCTGCAGACACGGGAAGAGGGGCCATGCGCGAGTTCGACTCGCAAGCTGCGAAGCGTCACTCCGTAGGGCTGTTGCGAAAGAATGACTTTTAGTCACTGACCTCGTGACCAAATGCCGGCATGACCCAGACTTGCGTCCCCCCCATCCAGGCAGCCAGAACTCGAGGCCTCGGCCGAGGCCTCGAGAGCGCGAACATGGACAGGCACGGAAACACAAGTACGGGAATGAGGGTAAGGTCCGCCTGGGGGGGGTGCAGTGACGGAACCTGGAACTGGTGGGTGGCCGATGGCCGAAGCAACAACGAGATTCCCCGGCTTTCCATGTCATCATGGCCATGTCGGACTTAGGCTTTCGATCGATCACTACTGCATTGGTAAGTCGCTAAGGAATCTTGGTGATCTAGCTAGGTAAAGGCCCCGGGGGTACGTACCTCCGGGGCCTCCAGTCCTGCTGATTGATGACTTGGCATTCTGACGGGTCTGAGATGGAAATGCGTTGATCCCTGTCGTCGTCCGCGCTTGCATGGATCAATCGTCAGGGATCTCGGCGCCCATCATGTACGGTCTATGGACCCTGAAAAATCACCCCACCCTCCGGCCCTGCCCGCCTACCTCATGTACACCCACCCATCCCATATACCTGGACAATCTTCCAACTTTTCCTGAGTTGTATTTAAGAAGCCGCCCCCCCGATCTTTGCCACCGTTCCTGACGCTTAAATCCAAAATCCCCAACAAACGTCACAACATGCTATCATCCCGGCCTCTCACGGTCTCATCTAATCCTCGATTCCGACAACAGCAAGACGACCAACCCCTCGATCTCGTCAACCCCCAGGACTTCGACTTTGACTTGTTCACATCGGAAGACAGCGCTCAGTCTCAGTCGCTCTACACACTCGCTCCCGACTTCGCCCTCCACTACAAAACTCCTGCGGCGGCCTCACCCACTGCCACCCCCCGGAGGCCTCGCACCACCAACTTCCTGGCGCTCCCCTCCTCGTCGACACCCGCCACGACATTCGACGAAACCTCCCTCAGCATCAACAACCCTCCTGATCTGATGCCGTCGGAAACATCATGGACCTTGGGCAACCAGTACACGTCCAGGCCCATCGGCCGCCTCCCCCACCAGCGTGAATCATCGTTGTCTTCACTGGGCTCCGCCGGCCCTGCGTCCCCTTACAACCACAGCACGTCCAACCCGCAGATCGCCATTACCGACTCAGCAAATGACCACTACAACGATGCCCAGGCACATGACGGAGGTGCTCAGTACTACCAGTTGAGCAAAGCCATGAACGGTACTCAGGAAGGTGGCTTGTACTCCGGCTATCATGCCTTTGGCGGAATGGACCACTCCGACATGGGGTATCCAGTCGCTATTGCAATGCAACGTCCGCGGACGGACAAGTCATTACTTCCAGCGCCGGAATTTCCCGTGCATTCAAGGTCTCATCCGACTTCTGTGGCAAGTTCAACGGCGGGCGGTGATTCACCAGCTACACCCACGACCGGTGAACCTGACGACGACCGAAGACGACGAACTGGTAAGTGGTACAAGTGGCAACAGGGAGTGCACTCAAATACTCACACGTCACCCGCAGTTCTCCCGGAACCGCCCAAACTAGACCGCACCATGACGGACATTTACAGCGATGAACTCTACAGTCCCAGTTTCAACATTGTATCCGCGTCTTCGCCCCAGAGCCAGCTGGCCGTGTCACCCAACAACGATATATTCACACAGCGGTTGCAGGCAGCCAACAGCCAACACCTGAATGCCGTTCACTCTCCCACCTCAATAGGAACACGGGACAGGTCACCCTTCCGTCACGGCTCCCCACTGGCTCCTGGCCCGGTCCAAGACTTCACGAACAACATGCAGGCATCACGACTCCGCTTCAACTCGGCACACAGCATGCGCGAGCAAGACAACGCAGATCGCCAAGCCCAATTAGCCAGGCAACAGTTCGCGATGAAAGCGGAGCCAGATACGCCAAAGACTATCTCGCCTAAGGATGCTATGCTAGAGTTTCAGGGATGCGATGCGGATTCTAACTTCCCATCTCTGTTTACTCAACCAAACCCTACGGACTTTGGGGTTTCACAGCTACCCTCCAATGATCAGGCATCAAGTGAGCAATTGACTGACTTCTCGAGACATCTTGCTGCGAATGGGCCTCCAGTTACATTCCCCTACATGGCGCAACGTTTACCCGCAAGCGTACAAATTCCGCAGCACTATCCGTTTATCGCTCACGCTCAGCAACACCAGCAGGCAACATCACAAGTCAGCCCTGCGGGATCCAGCTCAAGTAGTTCATCGGCCACGCCAGCGGCACTCTCGAAGCCTGCCGGTGCGGCTGCCGATGGCGGAACATACACTTGCACATATCACGGATGTACTCTGCGCTTCGAGACACCCGTTTTGTTGCAAAAGCACAAGAGAGAGGGGCATCGCCAGCCTCATGGCTTGGGCATGCCGCCGAAACACGTCGACACCAAATCCGAGCCTGTGGATGCTGCTGCCAATCTTCTGAACAGTCAAGCTGGGCCGCATCGCTGCGACAGGATCAATCCTAGCACCGGGAAATCGTGCAACACCATATTCTCAAGACCATACGACCTTACTCGGCACGAGGATACTATTCACAATGCTCGGAAGCAGAAAGTGCGGTGCGATCTCTGTAGCGAGGAAAAGACGTTCAGCCGGGCTGACGCCCTGACAAGACACTACAGGGTGTGTCACCCTGATGTGGAACTCCCTGGCAAATATCGCAGACGTGGAAACCACATTTGAATTCTCCGTCAGGATGGCTGCGGTAGATGCCAATCACTTCTGAGTTGGGAATCAGTGGCTTCAGGGTCTCGACGACCCCGTTGTCATTCATACCATGACATCATCAAAGGACCCTGAAAATTTACTTGGACCCACCCAATGACATCATGGCGTCATTTTCTGCTGAGCCCTGCATGCGCCTTCTCCACTCGGATGGACGAGACCCGTTTCGACAGTCTTCGAGGGCGGACACCCCAGTTCATGAGCGAGCGGGGCTTTAGCACACAATCATTGGTCATGGCCAATGTCTAGGAGCCATTGACGACATCTGTCTGTGCGACATGCCGATCTTGTCGGCGCACGAGGTCTTGGTAGACATGCGGTTGCATCATCATCGCTTTCCATTGACGCTCGCGCCCATAGTTTACACTTCGTCAGCAATATGGCAACCGAGTCTAAATGTATCGCTTGCGCGACACCCTGACGCCCCCGACGCGTCATGACGTATATTGGTGCCACAAATCTCTTACACCAATTTCACGCGCCCACGGTGGTGCGATGAGAAAGCACATGAGTCGATACTATCCGGACCATTTGTCTCCGTATAGTTCGACGCAAATCTAATTTGTATAATATTCACTTGTCTCACCAAAAAACACGAAAATGGAGTGCTTAGCGCTCAACGAAGGTGGTGATGATTTAGTTGCGCCAGACGCGGCGACACAGTTGTCACAATGGTTGTACTTTGAATTTGGAAGGCATAGAATAGGACATTGGTCCATGGAAAAAGCGATCTATGAGTGGGATTTTATGTTGAACGATACTACGATTTGAGACATAGACGCCATATAATCAATTTACGAGCTGTGCATTGTCGATATAACTAGAGAACACTGCCTCATGTTTTGGATTCGGCCGCGTAACAGTTACACCCCTACATTGATTGAGCGATGTGATGTGGGGATTCCAGACGTTCCCACATTGTAAGGCAGGACATCTAGGGTGTTCACAGATGCGTAGCGTTCAGAGCTGACGGACACAACTTTCCATGTGCACTTCGCAATCAATCGTCGTCCATACATTCCGTTAAAGCCGGCGCGGTTAACTTATGGCTAGTTGGTGGAAGTTGGAAGCTCGTCACCGTTCACTGCTGCTTGGGCGTCGATGAATCGGGGTGTGATGCCTGTCCACATTTGGAACTGTACAATGTGAATCAGCAAGTCACATTGTTCCTGTAGTCTTTGGGTCACTTACTTGATGCCATCCTTGCGCAGCAAGTACCTCTGCGCCAGGAATCGTACGCCAGCCCGCATCCTCGGCTAGGCGCATTGCCGCAGTATGACGCGGCTGGTATGCCATTTCCAGCAACACACGGGTTCGCTGTTCGCTCACAGGGCTATTCAACACAACCTCGAGTGTTTCACGCAGCGATGGGTCCATGGGTTTGTCTGCAGGGATCGTGCTGATGACCACGGTGGGCGCTACGGCCAACGTGGAGACCTCGGCAGGACCCCCGAGTGCTCGAAGGTCAAAGTCAGTCGGAAATGACGCTCGAATGGTCTCGAGGCTCTGCTCGTTACGAGCCAGCATGTAGATAGGGTGGTAGCCATGAGACTTCAGAGCAAAGATAGCTGCTCTCGTTGTGCCACCCGAGCCAATCACCAGCGCAGAAGCTGTCGTTGTGCTTGCAGTCGATTCAGAAGCCACGCCGATGGACTCAAGGCAATGCACCATGCCCCGCCAATCTGTGTTGTCGCCGAGAAGGCGGCGTTTCTGACTTCCATCAAGAGGGATAGGGATGATTGTGTTGACGGCACCAATAACCTTTGCTGATTCAGAGACTTCATCCAGAAGCGGCATTACATCCAGCTTAAGTGGAATGGTGACTGACGCGCCGCCAAAATCAGGCTCGCGAATGACGGCCGCGACCTCATCCGCTTGGTCAGTCTCAACCAAACCATACTTGTGGGGCAACCCGGTCAGGTTGAACAGAGAATTGTGAAGTGCGGGCGATCTTGATTTCGAGATGGGCTTGCCAAAAAGATAAAAGGACTGAGCATTTATGTTTCCGAGTAGGAATAACGCCCGGCGGATTTCAGCAGCTGACAGTTGACCGGGTGCCGCTTTGAAAGGAAGCGCTGGGTGGGACACGGGCGTGAGGAACCCATTCAACACGCGACTGAGCTTGCCAAGAGCACCCATGTTGAGAGCAATGACAGGCGTTGGATGAGATGCGAGCATGTCGGACTTGAATCTCGCCAAGTCATAATTGTCCTCCATCGACTGTGCCGTGCCGACCAGCTTAATTACACTGCCCCACTGCAGTGCGCGATTGTAGAAAGGGGTCCACGATCCATTCTTCCAGGAAAGCTCACCTCGTGGATCGTGATGCGATGCGATGATCCGCGATCGGCCTTTGAGATTTGTGACGGTCTGCAAGATATGCTCTGGCCACGTCATCTCTAGGTCGATGAATTCAACACCCATGCGAAGTGCAAGAATGTAAAGGCTGAGGGCTTGCGTATGGTCCGCATCTGGAAAACGACCGCCTTGAGACACAGTTCGTAGGGTAAAGATGATGGGCATCCCTGCAGCAGACCGCAAAGCTGACACTTGCCTCGCAACCGATTCCGGAGTTTGATCCTGCAACAGATCGACCCGAAGTTCGACAGCGTCTGAACCGACAACAACTTGCGGGATGACATCGACAGCAGAGTCGACACTAGGCACCGTTAGTGAAACAAAAAAACTTTGTTCCTTGGCCGTCATCTTGGTGACCTTCGAACCGTCACCGCAGATGGCATCTACAAAACATTTGAAGTCCAGCGGCGCGTCCCTGGAAGCCACGGAAGCAGCCGGATGTGGGCTAAAGTACTGGAAATTGCTGCACTCGTCGTACAGTGGCTTCCTCCTGTAATAGACATCTTCGATGTCTTCGCGATAAGCTGGACGTGTTTTGTCTTGAAGCAGATAGTCAACCACTTGCTTCGTATCCCGGTGCACCAGCAGCACACAGCCGCCTTTCTCTTTGTAGGCAATGATAAGTTTTCGGGCCTCTGGCGATTCGACAATGCCGCCACCGCATGAAAAGACATGACCGCTTGCTTGATTCTTCATGACGTCATGGAGCAATTGCAGCTCATCACGCCTGAAGCCTTCCCATCCCTTCGTGCCATGTATCATCTCGGGGATGGTCATGCCTGACCTTCGCTCAAGTTCTTCATCAAGATCGATGAAGGGTCGTTTCAATAACTTGGCCATCCACCTTCCAGTCGTGGTTTTGCCTGCACCTCGCATGCCGACGATGAAGACTGAGCGAGTCGTGTGATCCTGCTGGTGGTGACCTTCGGCCCCAGGATGCTTGTCATCTCCGTTAAGGCGAAGGCCGAAAGACTGCGACAGAGTATCCCACCAACCCGGCCAGGTCTTCCCTGTGCATTCGCGTTCGAGTATCGTGACCGGGGCGTTAGCCACTGTAGACAGAACACTGAAACTCATGGCAACACGATGGTCATCATAACAGAAAACTCCGGCATCGGGGGTCTTGAGAGTATCCAGAGGCTGTCCGGTCACAATGATACCATCGTCAAATTCGTCTGTAGCAATGCCAAATTTCCCCAACTGCTCTCGCATGGCTGCAATTCTGTTGCACTCCTTGACTCGCTGGTTGGCGATGCCACTAATTTTAGTGGTCCCGGCGGCCACCGCTGCCAACACACTCGCCGTCAGGAACGCATCAGTCATCGGTTCCATATCCACATGCGGAAGGCCTAGCAATCCACCAGGAGCTGGTCCCGTGACTGTTGTTGATGATGCGGTCTGCTGAACGGTGCAGCCCATAGGCTGGAGTACATCGATTGCAAAGCGCGCGTCGCCCTGTAGCGACGAGGATCCGATGTTGGGCACCGTGCATGTGGTGCCCGTGATGGCTGCAATTGCAAGGGGATAAGTTGCCGAGCTGGCGTCGCTCTCGATGGTGTATTCGGCAGGGTTTTTGTATGTTCCTTTGGGTATATGGTAGGTATTGGGGTCGGAGCTCGACCGTTCGGCCTGTACCCCAAAGGTTTCCATCATCGCCAGTGTCATGTCGATGTAGGGCTGAGAAATTGGCTTGCCTCCCACAAGACGTAATGTCACGGGCTCCTTTGCGTACGGAGCAGCCATGAGGATTGATGACACATACTGAGACGATACAGTGGCCGCAAGTTCAATGACGCCGCCAGCAAACCCGCCCGCAGCATCGATACGGAGCGGCAGGCTCTTGCCTGGACCGAGGTAGTCAATAGAAACTCCGTTGCTTCGGAGCGCATCAACAAGTGGCCCAATGGGCCTTACCTGCATGCGAGCATTGCCTGTCAAGACGGTTGACGAGACGTCCGCAGGGCTGCACAGAGCCACTACGGTGGTCAAGAATCGAGAGGCTGTTCCAGCGTTGCCAAGGTAAAGAGGGTCGCTGCTGGCTCGGAGCTGGCCCCCTTTTCCTGTGAGGACCAGAACCTCGCCGGCATCTTCCCAAGCATATGAAGCTCCACCGAGCCGGGTGATGGCTGTAAGCATGAACTCGACATCGTCGGAATGTAGAAGGTTCTTGATGCGACATGTTCCCTCGCCGAGTGCGGCAAGGATGAGAGCACGATTTGAAATACTTTTGGACCCAGGAGGGGTCACCGTTGTAGCAAGCTTTGTTGGCACGCCAGGTGTAACCAAGGTAGAAGCTGACAACATGACCTTGATCGCGGCATCTTCGACAGTGGTAGCTCTGGGCTCGTGGGTTTTCCCAATCGCTGAGAGCAGTACAATTTTCTTCTTCCTGCCATCATTTTTCTTATCCACCGCCATTTTTTGAAGAAGTATATCAACAGGGCATCTTTTGCCCGCTGTTAATTTGATCACCCTCTTATCGCTGAGAGAGGTGGGTAGACCATAACTTGAAATGCACTTCGATAGCCGAGCGACAGCGCTTGGGCGCAAAACGCCAAGATACCGGGCCAATTCCGCTTCCTTAACCATGCCAATTGCAA